GTACTCCCCGCATGCTACGGTAGCACACCGTCCGTCGGCTGAGCCCTTAGCTGCACAACTCATCTCATCGCTGGGCCAAGGTACTCTCCGTATGCTACGTTCCACCGTCCGTCGGCTGAGCCTGCCATCCCAATACAACCTAACAATGCGTAACATGTCTGCGACCTCTACCGCCTGCGGTCCCTGCCGCCTCATCTCAAACCCAGGGCCCTCGCACTGGACGCCACAGCATTGCTATCCTCCAGCCGAGCCACCTGGCGTCCCCAAAATACATCTCACAATACCAACCTCATGTATAAGTCAAAAACAAGTATACATATTCATATACAGTTTACATCTCAAAAGCCACTATCACAAACCAACATATCTCACTGATAATTCATAAAACACATAACACATATCCCGAGTATAATATAGTCAAAATACAGTTTTCAAACCACATAATCATCATGTCAGAAAACCACAGTATGAAATCACAGGTATAGAAAGAGTATCATCACTCACAGTACAGAAATCAAGCCAATAGAGAAGTCTCGAGTCACCTCCACTCGACTCACGGTCAAGATATATCTCCTTAACCATATCTGTAGTCAAAACCACACAAAAATCATTACCAATACCAAAATCAGCACAAGAAACGGGCTTAGTAGCCCGAACCGGCTCAAATCCCATCCTGGGACCCTTGGTACGCATCCCAAGGTACCAAAACCCATCACAAAGACTCACGTGTTTCACTAATATAGTCAATTTCTGCTCAACAACCCTTAACAATGGTGAACTAGCCCTTAAAATCCCGAACCATAATAAATCGATCACTGAAAACCCTTGAATCGGCTTAAATTGGCCTAAAACTACCTCATCCCGAACTCATTTGGCCACGAAACCCTCAAAATCAGATTCGGAAGGCCCAAAAACCTTAGGAACCACTATGAACCGGTCAAAAATGAGCCAAAATAAAGCTGAACCGGCCAATTTATCATTAATTATCCTTGAACCGGGCCGATTTAATCAAAACACTAAATTTCCGGTCAAACCGGACCTCCCCGAACCCCCGAACCAACTCGGTTCAGTAGGTCTTTTCTCCCTGATTCCAGAACCGGTTCAACTTCCCAATTCCGAGGTCGTTTGACCACTGAACCGGCCGGTCAAAGCCACTGGCCGGTTCAGTCAACTGCTTTTTTTTTTTTTTTTTTTTTTTTTTTTTAACTGAGCCAGCTTGGCTCAGTCGGCTAGGAGTCGGCTCGGAGTCGACTCGGCCAGCTCGGCTCGGAGCCTGCTCGCCCCGGCTCGGCCGGCTCGGCTCGGAGCCGACCGCCCGCAATATCAAAGTTTATACTTTTTTTTTTTTTTTTTATAAAAGGCTGCCCGCGGCTCCAGTCCGCGGGCTGCCTTGGCCCAAAGGCTAGTCCGGGCCCAATGGCCTGGACAAGGCATGCGCCCATGCGGGGGACCCGGATCACCGGGTCCGCCCCTTTCTCACCCAGCTTAACCGGGTCTGTAACTTCTGAAAATTCAAAATAAATTATAAAAAATCGAAATAAAATAGAAAAAACCCACTTACCTTATCAATCCACACCCGAATTTGGTAGATCTGAGCAGAACGAGTTGAACTACGCCCAATAATCGGATCAAAAACTAATAAATCATCAAAAATTTTCCAAAATCTCCTCACGAATCACAGACGAACCCATTTGTAGAAAACACTCAATTTCTCTCTCTAAACTCACCCGAATTCTGAAATTGAGAGAGGGCTTTCATTTTTCTCTTAAATACACACGCGGCGGTGTGAACAAATCACCGAAAACTTCAACCATCGCGGCGAATTCGGCGTCAAAAGCTTTGGCCACCGATTTGGACCAAAATTTCTGTTTTCTTTAGATCTAGTCCTCAAATTTTGTTTTTCTTCAATTCAGTCCCTGACAATTTCAATGAAATCCCATACTTCCCAGAATTCCCAAATCAACCCCCAAACTTCTAATATTTCCAAATTAAGCCCCCAAATCTCTAATTTTCACAATTAAGCCCTTGATTATTAATTTAATTAATTATTATTTATTTAAAAATTGGATTATTACATAAAGTTTTAGTGGTTGGCAATCAAGCAAATAGGAGAGAGATATCACATCGAGATTAAGGTTAAAGTTTCTAGGAAGGATAAAGAACAATGTCTAATTTTAAAATCTCATGATCAAATGGGTTGTTTTTTATTTTTTATATTTCAAAAAATGTTTTACAAAATAGTTTTGCAAAACATGAATAGAAAATGCGCCCTAAAATGCCCCCCTTTTCTAAAAAATAAGAAGATAATCAAAAATTTTTAATAATTATTTTTGTTTCTTACTTTATATTTTCATCGTCCCAGATCTTCTTATAATAAAAAACTTTATTTTATGTCTTAAATCCTCCATCATTTTTTTAACTTGTCTAATTTGTTCAATTTAATCCCTCAATTTTAATTTAAACAAATTTGATCCTTCAAATTCTAGTTGATGTCAAATGTGATAATTTGTGCTAACTTCTATCTAATTGACATTAGTTTTTATTAATATGAAAATTTACATTTGATTTGTATGTTATATGTATTGTATCAAATAAGTTATATAAATATATTTTATAAAAATAAAGAATGTTTATTGGATTAAAAGAGGATATATATATATATAATTGCAGTTTTATATTCACATAATTTCACACTTATTGAATGAAAATTAAAATAAAAGATTATATTTAATATTAAACCAAACTTGGTAAATTATATTTATTTAAATTAAAGTTAAAAATTAAATTAAAAACAAATTAGGCAAATTAAATGGAGGACGACTACATGGGCGGAATATAGGCATTGTGACTTTTGGGTTGGAACTAACGTCTGCCTAATCTAGCCCAACAAATTAAGGCCCGCTACAAAACCAATAAAAAGTATAAGGTTAGGGTTCCCTTGCCTTCCCGGGAGGATTCTTTCGTCGGAGGCTGAGCTGAAACCAAAGCTAGAGTGCAAAGTGCGTTGTCGTCCGTCCGCCGCCTGGAGAAATGGGTAACTTACCTACAGCTTCTGCTTTCGTTGGTTTCGTCTCGATATGGTTTTCATTTTTCAAGATACTTGAAATCTCGATTTGAGCTTTGTAGTTTCATTTTGATGGCGTATTGTAATAATTTGTTCAGGTATATCACGAGACTCAATGCACAAGAGGCGTGCAACTGGAGGGAAGAAAAAGGCCTGGAGGAAGAAGAGAAAGTACGACAATCTAATGCACTCAAATGATCTTCGCTTTCACTTGCATTCTTTTAAATTATGGGAGAAATGGGGAAGATTGTCTGTCTTGTCTTTCTCTTTGTTCTAACATTTATATGTAATTAACTTGATAAATTCTTTATATTTAGATTATTTTATTAAAAATGACTGGGCTCTCTGCCTATTGAAGTAGTACAAACAGAGAAATAAATCAGGCTTTGACCATTTACTCACTTTTGAACATTTCATAAGTGGGACAAACGGATGGAGTTGGTGATCACTAATTCTTTTTGTAAAACATTGATTACTAAATGCTTTGGCCTTATCCGTGCTATTGTCTCTGTGGATAACTGAAGATAGAAGACTCTGTTTTTTGAATGATGCTTAGTTAATTATGTAATGGTAGGACAAACAGCATTAGTAGGATTGGAAGGACTCATCTTTCAAGCCTTGTGATTACACTATCCTAAGATGATGGTCCGAGTTTGTTAAAGTACCAATCATTAAAATTTTTAGAGTGAAAGAAGTGAATGATCCAAGTTAGTGTCATTAGATGTCCTAATGTGAGAAACTAATGCTAATTGGGATGATAACAAGAGCTTCTTGTAAGGTGCTTCTGCTAATTGTAAGTTTGAATTTATTAGATGGGTATTTCTGTTCTTGAGGATATTTCTTGGAAGCCTAGGATTCAAAAGTCACCTTTACACCTTTTGTTGGAGGACTTGGCCCTCCTGTGGACCCACAGGAAATGCATTTTACTTGAACTATTATCAAATGGGATTATACAATTACGGAAGATGTTAGGCATAAAATATAGATTTCCTTTTCTTTTTTTTTTAATTTTTTTAATCATCAAAAATACTTGAATTTTAGAGATAGAAGCTCAAAATTTCTCCATATGTAATTTCAAATAAAATGCATCATCTTACATATTTTATAAGATGAGAAACTTTTCTAATGCTATCTTTTTCCTTTCATCTTTTCTGGGAGAATTTCTTACTTTGTGGATAAGTTCTTGTGTTGATTAGCTTATAATCTGTGAATAGTTTTTCTAAGTTGACCCTTGTGTATGAATTAGCTTTTAATGAACAAAAATTCAAATTTCTTGTCTCTAAAGATAACTAAATATGAATGCCTGTTACATATAATTATAGTGAAATTTAATTTATAGTGGTGTTATATGAATAAATCAATTACTTAGTTGAAGTTTGAGAAAATGCTTGATATGCATTATCTTTAGTTTGACTTATAATTAGTAAGTGAGATAATTAGATTTTCCTTTTTGGTAAATATGTGTTGTTTGCACTTTGCATGGTCAGATCGCCTTCTTTTGAGTGACGAAATGCCTAAATCTATATTACCATATTTATTTTAATTAGTGCTCTATATGTTTTTTCATTCTCTTTTTAAGTATTGTCCCATGTCTTACTGTTTGCCATTTGTGATTTGCAATATTAGGATTTCTATTTGAAAATTAAAATCTTAATTTAATGACTATGAAAAATGCAAATTGGTCAGTGAGTGTGACACTTTTTTGTGGAATGGGGCATAACCTAAATAAGTATCTCAAAAAGTTTTACTAACTGCTTTATCTGTTTAGTTTATAAAGTTAAATAAACACCTAACAACCACTATGCTATGAAAAGTAAACATTTTTTCCTTGCTTGTGGAACATGTTGCAAGCAGGAAGAAAAATATCTCCATGCCTAAGAGTTCAACACGTCTCCCACCAATTTCCTTCTGACTGTTCTTGCAAAAGGATTTTCTTATGTATCACATTTTGTTTGTGCATTTGAGGTGGTTCTATTTTGCATTAATATCTTAACTAATGGTACCTCAAGTTGCCTGCTCATTTTGCGATTTTTTCATTGGCCATAAAGGTATGAACTTGGCCGTCAACCTGCTAATACTAAGCTCTCAAGCAACAAGACAGTGAGGAGAGTCCGTGTGAGAGGTGGCAATGTGAAGTGGAGGGCGCTCAGATTGGACACTGGAAATTATTCTTGGGGTAGCGAAGCTGTGACCCGAAAAACACGTATTCTTGATGTGGTTTACAATGCCTCAAACAATGAGCTTGTCAGGACACAAACTTTGGTGAAAAGTGCTATTGTTCAGGTGGATGCTGCTCCATTCAAGCAATGGTACCTTCAGCACTATGGTGTTGATATTGGTAGGAAGAAGAAGGTAGCTGCTAAGAAGGAAACACCTGAGGTATCCAGTGCTTTCTAAATCACATTTATCACTTTATAATTTTATGTAAAATCTAGGACTTTCGGACATCCACATGTGTTGACATAGTTATTAATTTTTTAAAATTGAAATATCTTGCATAGAAGGTTTTGCAATCTTGAGAATCTGAGATTCTGCTTTGGTGCTTAATTCAGAGCTTGAAATCTATGATTGCATCTCATGGCATTAGACTGAAAGATCATTTTTTATTTAATTTTTTTTTATTACACATCTGTGTGAACATATTCTTTGTAGGAGTCCCTTGGCGAGGCATTCTTGAAGCTTTGATTGGTTATCCTTATCTTGCTGAAATGTATAGATATATTACACTTGCAGATTGTTTACAATGTACAATTTATTAACAACCCATTATTATAATAAATTCTTCATATTACAAATTGTCCCTGATTATATGAATCTTACTTAGTCTATAAGCCTAATTTCTTGTTGATTAATCTATAATACATACAACATTATCAAGCCTTTGATTTAGTATTTTGTCCATTTTCTACCCTATTACCTTAAACACATCAGTCAACCATTGGCATTGTAATTGATCAAGTCACCTTGTAAATCCACTATTTCAAAAATAATTAACTGGTCAATCAAAAAAAAAAAAAAAAAAAAAAAAGGAAAAAGAGAAGGAAAAAATACGAAGTAACTAGTTGGAGAATATATTTACTGGGAGAGTGTTGAATCAAGTGATATGGGGATCAACGAAAAAATTCATTTGTTGTGCTATATTCATCTTTGACATGACTTAGATGCTTGTTGCCATATGAAGTAAAAGTGAGCGAAGTAGTGTGAAGTTCCCTATCCTATTAGAGAATCTTTTGTTGTTGATTACATATTAGGTTATTGCTTTGCCATTCAGTGACCATCTCATATGAAACATGAACATTTATAGTGCATTAAAGTATCATTGTCAGACACGAAATGTGTCATAGTTGCCTTAAGTTGTGGCCCAAGTTTTATCTAATCTTTGTTTTGCTAGACACATTGAGGATGTGTAGAAGATGTGTCCAAGAATGGGACATGGACGCATCAAGGATCAAATGTAATCTTTTTGAACTTTTTGAGGGGATGCAATAACAACACATTATTTACTATCTTATATGTTTTTGTTGGCGGGTCTTCAACTGGGTTGAACCAAACTTCACCAGGGTTCGTTTGGTTAAGAAATAAGTGTTGCACTCTAACTAACAGCTTAAGCTTTTGGGCTAATGGTTAGCAATAGGTCTCAACATGGTATCAGAGTAGGAGGTTGCAGGTTCAATCCCTCACTCCAACAGGTGACTACTAAGGGGGTGTGTTGATTGAACCAAAATTGCCTATGCTGGTTTGGTAAAGAAATAAGTGTGGCATCTTAACTAACAGTTTAGGCTTTTGGGCTAGTGGAAAGCAATAGGTCTCAATATGAAGTGGTGAGATTTGCCTAGTTTCTACAATTGAGGAAGGAGATATTGAGATAGCTTAATTGGTCAAGCATTTTTTGCTTTTTTTTTTTTTTTTTTAACTTGAAGAATATTATATGGTTTGTTCTTTTGCATTACTTTTTGGTTTTTCCTTGTATAACTAACAAAAATATGGATATGTTATAGATATTTGTGTGTCTACACTATGTCTTGCATTTTCTAAAAATTGTCGTATCCCCTTGTCGACATCATATCGAAACAGGACAGGCTTGTCTGGGTATATCCTTTGCATACCATGTCTTTTTTACTAGTAAATTCATGTAGGAGTATGTTGGCTGATTTGACTTGATGAAATGCAATTTGATATTGAATGGATAACAAGATATCCTTAGAGGTTCTTGATATTGGTGTCAGTTGTCATGCATCTTTGCGTTCTCAAAGTGACAATTGTAGTAGTTGGAGCATCAGCAAGTGACCCAATTTTCTTGGAAAGTGGAAGAATTGGTTTAACCTTTTGTCCATAGAGCAATTACAACTCAGAAGATAGAAAAAGTAATATGGCAAATCATAATGAGTATAGGACAAGGGACAACTGGGACAAAAGCCAAAAATGTATTTTAGGTGTCTAGTTATGATTTGTACCTTCAATTCTAGACAAAGTATATAATGTGACATTTTATTCATAATTGTTTTACATATTCTTTCAGAAATATATGAAGTGATCATAAAATGTGTGAAGGCAATGCAATAACTTTTATGTATATTAGCAGGAAGGGGAAGGAGTTGCTGTTGAGGAAGCCAAGAAGAGCAACCATGTTCAGAGGAAACTTGAGAAGCGACAGCAAGGTCGTAAACTCGATCCCCACATTGAAGAGCAGTTTGGTGGTGGTAGGTTGCTTGCTTGCATCTCTTCTAGACCAGGTCAAAGCGGGAGAGCAGATGGGTGAGTATAGAGGAAAACCAAAGAAAAAAAAAACACCAGAATGGAGTACTGCCGTTGACAAGTATATTATGATCTGATTGTTTGCTCCTTATCTCAATTTTTTTGATGTGTCAAAATTCAATGATAGGTACATATTGGAAGGAAAGGAATTGGAGTTCTACATGAAGAAGATCCAGAGGAAGAAAGGCAAAGGTGCTGGTGCTGCTTAATCAGTTGCTCTACTGCACAAGACATTACGATGTTCAATTTCTTTCTTGCTTTTTTAGGATATTAATTTCATGATGTAGTTGATAGTACTACTCAGCTAAGAACTTTGGTTTCCTGCTATAGATGATCTGGTTTCTGATTTGTGTTGCAATCCAGTTTTGGCCAAAAGTACGACGTTTGTAGATTATAATGGTTTTTTGTTGGCCCTAAGCCTAGATGAGAATATTGTTCGTGACATTATAAAATATGTATGTTTGATTGAAATATTTTAAGTGGGAGATCCTGATGTACATATAACGTGTCATGAGCTCGATGTTGCAGGTAAGGAGATACAACTGAAAAAGATACAGGGTTTCCTCAAAGTCAAAGCCATTTTTAGTCCCTGGACGAAAGGCCCGTGTTCAATTTGGTCCTTAGACTTAAAAATTGTGCAATCAAGGACCTGAACTTAGTTGAGTTTGTGTAATCGAGGACTACGTTCCAGAGGGTGACAAACTCGATGATGTACAGTTTTTAGACATTTTGTGAGTCATTTAGCAAATAGAGAGCCAGTTTGAAGCAAATTAGTGGGAAAAGTTCACAGAAAAGAAGAAAACCCTGCTGTCGCCCACTTCCTGGACCTGCTCGCCTAGCGATGATCCTGAAACCGTGTTGGCGTCCACCTCTCTTCCTGGCAACCTCCAGCCCGTGTGCTCCCTCCTCTGCCTACCTTGCCCCTATTGTTGTTGATCTCCACTGTTGCTACTGGTCATTGCCTCTAAATTGCCAGCCCTCCCTCCCTCCTCCTTTCAGTTTGACATTCCCCTTCTCCCCTCGTTGAAAGACAAATGTTGGAAACCCTGAAGGGCCACAGCTGAGGAGCAAATGTATCAGATTAACACTTGATCTGACCATCATCCCCTCCCTTTTGCCTTCAAAATAACATTTTATTGAGAGCCGTAGCTGGCAAGGTCCACGTACAAGAAGTATAAATGGTTTCAACCCTTTTGGAAAAGTTAGTTGACTGCATGGAATCAGTGACCGGAGAAATGAGTACCGAGTTTAGTAATTCATAACTTTAAGTCAATTCAAACCATGGTAGTTTTCTAAATTTTTCTCTCTTCAACTTAGGCATTCAATATAAGAAACTTGTATCGTTTTCTTGTTTATAAGTTAAGAAAAATAAATTATTGACCTTTTAATGTCCATTTTTTCCTCTTAAATTAATAATTAATTGGCCAAAAATCCCAATTTCCTTTCTTCTTAACTTTTGCAGAAGATAATCGACTTCTTAGTTGGCCCAGCAGTTTGGCTGTCACAATAAACAGTAGTAGCTGTTTTGCTGCAAGCCAAGTTCATCAACCAATCCTCCAAACCAAAGAACTTGCCTCGTTGTCCTGGTCACTGCCGTTTGTTTTGCCTCAGTGGTTGACAAGGCAATGGTGGACTGCAAAAATACTTTCCAACTAAGCCACCTGAAAGAGTAAAGATATAATCTGCCAATATTTCAATTGCTGTACATGCTCTACTCATATAAATAATCTGCCAATATTTTTTATGATGGCGCCAATTCTCCTCATAAGAACTCTGAAAGTCAAGAAATTAAGGCTCAAACAAAAATCAACCACACCTCACTTGAGAATCAACCATAAAATTTATCAAGTAAAATGAGATTGAATCCAGAACCAGCAGTTTAATTATAATAACTGATTTTAAACTAAACATATCCAAAACTAAAATAGCAAAACAAAATTTATCAAAATTACTATAAATAATAAAAAAAAAATTTGAAATAAATATTGCAAAAAGCAAACCCTTCTTCAGATAATTGGAAACCTTAATCCCAATAATAATATTTCCATTTATTGTCCCTTAAAATGAAAACTACTGTGTAACATTAACATTAAACTTGAAACCAATATCCTCAAGCGCAAACACTTCAAACTCTTTATAGAAGCGCATATATATATGTATGTACACATACACTCAGCTAAATGCAACAATGTACAATAAAGATAAGATGTAACGGTTGATATTTTACATTGCATGTGTGCGTGCGTGCGTGCGTGTGTGTGTGTGTGTGTGTGTAATGAAGGATAAAGAGAAAAACTCAAAATAATTCTTACCTCTTATCAAAACCGCATACAAGCTCCATTGGCAAATCTTTCAATCTTGCAATAGGGTAACTAACAATTAAAAAAAAAATGCATAATGTTTTACAATAAGTAAAAGAGTTCTATCAACACACTTTTCAAACTCATATTTTTAAGAAAGTTTTACTTTGAAAATTTTCATCTGAGTTCATAGATAGTTATGCAATATGATTTCACAGAAGTACAGAGATTCATAAAGAAAAACAATTATGATCATCTACAAGTTGGATAATTATAGAAAAGTATCTTGGAAAGTGTAATAGGAACCTGATGCCAATACTTAAGCAGCATGAGTGGACTCGTGTGCTTTCTTAGAGGACTTCCAGGACATCATGACATATTCATAGTCCCCGTCGTTGTAGAGTCTAACCGCTTCATGAAAGCCACTGCATAAGGCAGCTTTCAAGACGCAGTTCTTGTGGTTAGTTACATTAAACCGACACAGTACATAATAATTGGTTTAGAATTTAATCTCAAAATTTATGGCACACTATTAGGTGAATGGTAAACAATTAATCAAGAAGACAAATAAGAAAGACTTGTTTAGGCAATTTAATAAATAAAATGTACAAGAGTGAAAATTGTTGGCCCAAGCCTTTTTCCCATATTGAAGTTTAACAATTTTACTGGATAAGTAGTCTTATATACATCCGTGCCTCATAAGACAATTGTCCGTGCATTGATTTGTAATGAATTGTTTGATGAAAATGGGAATATCGGACCTTGCATGTTGCAATTCCTCTGTTTTCATAACTGTTGATATACAAAAAAAAAAAAAATGAAGGAATGTCAATAAGTTCGTAACTTGAGAAATCCATGACTTAAATATTTTACATGTAGATCGAGATATGGAGGGAATTTGAAATATAAATCCAACTTTGATGTGATTTGGATTGAAAATTTAGGTTCTCTAAAATATAATATTGCTTCTTCAATTATTCATTTTTATCATTAACATTTGTTCATCATCAACTAACATTTAATTTAATTATTAAAATGTCTTCTACATACAGGATTTTTTTGTAAATAACAATAACAATAACAACACCACCATATTGTTAGTTAAATGTGATCCTTAGCTTTTTGACTCACTCAACTTATCGGGAACTATGGTTAGTATGATGTCAAATGAACATTAAGATCAAGACTGCAATTGCACAAATCAGTTTTGAAGACCATTGGTGCAAAATTCAGCCAACATTTAAATTCACTGAGCATAAAGGGTTCACCAATTTTTCATATTTCAATTCATCTTAGGGGACCCTCTCATATTTGTGATCAATCAAACACATAAATAGGTAAAGAGGTTAATTGATTTTGAAGTATATAGAAATAGCAAAACTATATTTGTAATGAAACACAAAGCAGCAAACATGCAACTATTACTACCATATCTCCCTAATGAATTGAAAGTGGCTATTGTAGATTCTACATTATAAAAGAGAGAAGATGTTATCAGTTTATGGAATTTCAACCTTCAAAGAGATGAAAACTCAATGATTCAAATGGCTAATAAGAAGATATTAAATAGAAAGTTTCAAATAGGTGAGTGGGCATTGTTGAAATTACACCCTTGCGGCAAGGATCAGTTGCTCAGAAGGTAGAACAGAAGTTCAGTCCTAAATATTTTGGGCTTTACAAGGTCATTGATAAAATTGGTTTAGTAGCTTACAAGTTGAATCTTCCTGTTAAAGCTAAGGTGTTCTTGCATTTCATGCTTCACAATTGAAAGCTTATAAAGGACCTGTTGCTCTCTTAACTACTTTTGCTATACAATTATATGATGATTACTTCCACAGGAACCTAAAGCTACAACTAAGCTTAGAATGCTGAAAAGGAGGAATCAAGCTCCCAGTATAGTTTTGGTCAAATGAAATAATAATCTTGTTGAATATGCTAATCGGGAATATTAGTTAACTATAAAACAGAAAAACCTTAATTCAACCATTGAGATCCACGGTTATTTCAAGGAGGAGGCTATGTTATAAGCCATTTACTAGTAGAAAGAATTGGAAGTTGTTATGGTTAGTTTTATAGTTAATGAATTGTCAAGCTTGTTAATTAGCCGAAAGTTAGTTTTTGTAACTAATAAAGAGGGGTATGCAAACTAAAGGTTTGGTTTGATTTTTTAGTTTAGGTGTTCTAAAATTCAAATTAATCACAAACCAATTTGAACCAAATCTAATCTCTGGTTCAGTCCAGTTTTTTATGGTTTGGTTTGGATTTTGATTTATTGCTACTTAATAATTATTAAATAAATTATTTATTAAATTTTTTATTGCTAATTAATACACAAATGTGTGCTCTTGTATTAATATATGTGTGTTTGCGTTTGTGACCTATATATATATATATATACAAACACACGCATATCTATCTATCTCTGTGTGTGTGTGTGTGTGTGTGTGTACATATACATGCACATATATGAGGAGAAGAATTCCAAAATTTCAGTCTATGGATGAGAATGGTTTGATCTTGATTTTAAACTAACCAAACTATAAATCTTTTTTACCCAAACCAAACCAACTCAAATTTAATAAAAATTAAACCAAACTTCAAAATTCAGTTTAGTATAGGTAATTGATTTGGTGTTGCTAGCTCCTACTAATAACTGCAATAGTTGTAGAAAAAATGCCAGAGCACTATAAATAAAAGTATTATGGTCAATTTTAAATCATTCAAGAAGATTATTCAAATGTATTTCCCCTCACTTTCTATTTCTGTCATTATCTTCCTAGTTTGGCCTTCATCGTAATTCAAATATCGAAGTTGCCAGAGGAGCTATGAGGAAGGTGAAGTGACCATAACGTTGTAAATCAACACAAGAATAGCCATAATCACTGGGGCGATAAGTATGTTCTTAGTTCAATCGCTCAGGAAGAGAAAACTGGGAAATCACATGTAGCAGAATCAACACGAGGTCGTCAAAATCACTAGTGGCTTGTGGGTCATGCAGATCCAGACAACAACCAAGATGATGAAGAAGATGATGAGCGAGTAGCAAAGCAAGCACTAGGAGACGATTAGCCTCTGTTTAAGTTAATTGTCGTGGAAGCATAAATAACCCTCATGGCGTTGACGACTTCCGTATATTCACCATGTTTGTTGAATTTTATGTTGTTAAACTTTAATCAGCAAAAAAAATTTCACAATATAATGTAGTTCAAATTAACTAGCAGGTAAATTTCACTTAGTCCCCTATAAGATTTTTTTTTAAAGAAGTTAATTTCCCCTATTTACATTGAACAACAGGGCATTTTCCCTTTGCTGTGAATTTAGTTGAAATGGTTTTATGAAAAAGAGACAGGATAGCAAATTCTTTACTTCATTCCAAAAAAGTTCACAATTGTTCTCTCTAATAATCCTCAGAGAAGGTGAAGGTAGATTTATGTTGATGGTTGCATTCTTATTGTTTGATTTATGAGAATAAAACATAGATAATAGTGATTCATCCTCCATAAGTAATTAATCATTCTCTTTTTAGAGGAACGATATCCTATGTAATTGGTATAGATAGTGGCCTACTAAATCTATGACTGTAGTAGGTAGATTCTAATTCATGCCATTGAGGTGCGTCGTGTATTTTGGGATTGTGAAGTATATATTGTGATTAAGGGATCAAAATAGAAATATATAACACAGCAATCCTGATTTAGATCCCTGCACTTCTTAAAATTGCAAAAAAAAACCACATCAATTTCTATTTCCTTTGAATAGGCCCTTTAATAAAAAAAACTTTTTGCAAATTTGTCCTTATCCAGGCTTTAATTTTATTTTGATCTCTCTGAATTTGTCATTTTCAATCCAACCTTCATCCAAAAACCATTGTCAATTAATTTCTACTCAACTTCTAACCTTTTGAAATTGGTCCTTCACTTGCATTTTCTTCTTAATCAAGCATCCTTTCTTAACCAGAGTTTGGTCTAAGCCTTTTTTTTTCCCCGTCTTATTAATCAAGCATTATCAAAACTCTAATTACCTTTTGCTAGGTCCATTAAGATTGTCATTTTCCTTAATAATGTTTATTTACACCTTGATTACCTCTTAATCTAGCTAGAATTATATTTTAATCATACTTTGGTTAACCCTTAATTACCTTTTAAAAATAATTCCATTATAAGTTATTCTATATATTCTGATTTTTTGAACTTTTAAGAATGACAATTAACTACTTTAATCACAATAATTTAGTATTTAAAAATTTCAGCTCCTAGTTTTCAATTTTGTCAAATAGAGCTTCGTAACCCATTTACCCCTTGATCAAATTTTACCTTATTATTATGTGCCATTTTACCTTATCAATATGTGCCACACCTGCATAATTGAATAATAGTATTCACCTTTTAAGAAGAAAGGTGCAAACAAATAAGAACAGAATTTCATCTTTTTAGTGCATGGAATATGATCCACCTTTAGACAATTATTAAACTTTATTTTAAAATATCTATTTTTTTTTTTTTTTTTTTTGTTTCCGGTGATATTAGAAGCTACTTATGATTAAAAGGGAGACTCTCAGAGGACATTTTCAAAAGTCATTTGGCAATTCTTTTTCTTTTTTCCAGGTAACACAGGAAAATGAAAAAATGAAATTAGAAAGGTCCTTTCCCTCTTTTCTTCTTTTGACTAATCGATTGGTCAAATTTTCCATTTCAACAGCCGACAAGTGGAACTCTATTAGCACCTTTCGCGAGCACAAGAGCCAGAAGATACAGAATTATTTACCTAGAATCAAGGAGTGCAGTTTTATTCGCCTTTTAATCTTGCATGTAAACGTCCCTTCATACACGCGTACACATATGAAACGAAGACATGGAAAAGACAATATTGGTCAGCACTTTGCACTTTCCCACTACATTTCTGAGTATGACAGACAGACAACACCCGCTGCACCCTTGATCTAAGCCCCGTTTCTTCTAGGCCTTGCTATCTATGGGCATGGATACGGCCTCTTGCTTTGCTGCTTTATTCTGCATTTATTAAATGTAGCACATGTGAATCAGTCGAAGATCATTGTTAACATATGCTGTGTACATCAATACTAGCACGGTGAAGGACACGTCTCTACTTACAGCAGTTCTAATTTGCTCTAATTTGTTCATCTTGGCAAACATGTTCCCATAGAACTGGGCCTCCTCCTTGTTGTACTCCTTCACTTTCTCCTTCAACATCCTATACTCAGATTTCACATCCCTACAAAATAGATGCCACTTGATGTGAGGGACACGCCATATAATTGCTGATGAGCTCATGGCTATAACTTGCACTAGATAATATTGCTGTTCAACGGTTTTATTAGAACCATCTTCACTAGTATGTCATGATATCTCAGACTACACACATTAAAAAGTTGGTGAACTACTATTAATTTACTAAATTATCCAAAAGGTCTTCTCAATTAACATCAGGTCTTGCACCTCTCCTGAATGCATCCACCCTGCTCTCTCTCCCTCTGTTCCTATCTCCCGAATGTCCATTGATTTTGCAGTCATGTTGGTAAAGCTAGGTCACATCCCTTCAACATGTTTAAAAAAAAAAAAAAAGAGAGAGAGAGAGAGAGAGAGAGAGAGAGAGAACCCCATGTAGCAAAGAGAATCATCAGGACTTTGGTAAATGAGGTTTCATGGAACCAGTTGCATAAACCCCTACACCCTATACGAAGGTTGGAGAAAAAAGGTCCTGTGTTTGGTTTCATAGTACCCAATTTCTCAATTCTGGCATTTGGTTTCCCCCAAAACCTTCCACTATTTACTCTGATTTTAGGTTTTATAAAACCAAAATCTGATTTCCATGAAATCAACTTTCATTTGGGTTTGGGTTTCATCAAACCCAAGTTAAAACCCCTCCACAATCCCTGTTAAACCCATCAGTTTCCAAACACACTTCTTATCCCATCATTCAACTAATGCTTTACATAATATGATTTACTTTCGTCCAACCTTAAACCAAATATGCCCTCAAAATTTTGTCTATAAGAGTAAATATACCTGTTATCAGGGTCAATTTCAAGGGCTTTCTTTATATCCAATTCTGCCAAATCCAAATCAACAAGTTGGATATAAGCCTGTGCCCTCCTGTAGAGTGCCTTCACATTCCTACTGTCAATTTCCAAAACCTTAGTACAGAGCTTCTCCACCTGCTTGTAATCCTTCAGTTTCAGCTTACAAGCAGCATTGTTCAGATAGGAGGTCAGTTTCAGCAACTTTGCTTGTTGCTTCTCCTCATCACTAAAAGTGGTGTCATATTCGACAAAGTTCACAGCCTGCAATACAACAATAACCTTTCAGGAAGATAGAGCCAGTAGACCTTGTTCTAAATTAACCATAATGTTAATCCAACAAGTTACCTTCTCATATCTCCTTGAGGCTCTCTCATATTTGCCAGCTTTAAACAGAGCATTTCCTTCTTCTTCTTCTTACACGCGGCTTCTATCTTCTCACTTGTATACATTTCCCAGGATTCCTTTCCTATAGTTCAAAATTTTTTAAGCACTCACGTTAGTCCACTTCTTGGTAACAACAATCAATGTAGTCCTCCTCCCCCTGCATAGAGCCCTAAGAGACAGAAATAGATATATCATGTTTAAGAAGAGAACTTCCGTATACCTTCACGAAGGACACCATCTCAACCTCATAATATACAGTAGAATTGGCAGGTATGACAGCTAGTTCTTGACAGGATTCAGATGAACCAAAAGCATAATTTGGCTCAATTGTCACAAGTGCAATTTCTCCTTTCTTCATTGTTTTGACAGCCCTATCAAGTCCATCAATAACTTGTTCTGTTCAAAATCCAAACAGCAGGCTAAGCTTAGCACACAAAACACATCCTCATATCTACTAGAAGGATTCAAGGGAACCAATAAAAATAAAAAAGAGCACATTTAAAACAATTAGAATCAGATAACATCTTGACTACCTTCATCAACTTTGAATTCAAATGGATCCTCATCATATCCCTTCTTTAAGAAGACAGTTCCATCATCCAGCATCCCAGTTAGTTTTACTGTAACATGAGGGAATTAAGTTGCAAATGAAATTACTAAGCTGCTCTTTTCAAGGAAAGTGAACAAAGAAATCCGCTAGTTTTTATATTTATATGCAAACATTAAATTTACCTTGCACAATTGCCCCATCATTTGGACACTCGTATCCCTCTCCTTCCTTGATGATTTTCTTTAAAACCCTCTTATCCTTAGTAATTTCTGAAACAGTTTTCCACGACACCAATTCAAGATCAATCTGAAGTGTGGCATTGGGTGGCACAGCACATTCCACACCACTTGCTAGCTTGCCCATTTCTCCAAATGCATCTATTGTAACAAATTAAAGTAAGTAACTTAAAACAGTAATTTTAGCAAATGTAAAGAAATGCAGAGTGCACTCACATTGTGGATTCACTACCAAATGGACCTTTTCTCCCTTTTTCATTGTTTTCACAGCTTTTGACAATGCAGGACAAAAATAGCCTGCATTAAAAAGAGAATTTAAATATACCTGAAAATATATTAGGGGATATCAAAAAACTTGTACCAATTTCAGTAAGACAAACCGTCTCTGACAGTGAACTCCACCCCGTCGGATTTTGAAATCAATGATCCATCCTCAAGCCAAGCCACATATTTAACTGCAAGAATGAAAGGTTACACAAAATATCAGTAACACCTCCCATTTAGTTGAAAGAAAATAGAGGACAAGAATATATAGTATTGTTACCAAAAACTTCATCCATATCCTTGGGATTCTGCCACTGCTCTCCTTCCTTCAGTATCCTCTTTGTTATGCCTCCATCCTTGCAAATGTCCTTCACACTAGTCCAAGATATTAATTCAACATCAAACTGGAGGGTTGCATTGGGAGGGATTGTCGGTGAAGATCCAGTCTTCCCATAAGCCAGCTCAGAAGGTATGGTAAAAATGGCTTGTTCACCTTTCTTCATAGTTTTGATACCTTCATCCCATCCTTTAATCACTTGTCCTACATTATAAAATAGATGGGAATAATCTCATTTAGTTACATTCTGAAACAATTAATTCAAAGTTCTAGTCAAGAAGATAGAAAATAAATCTTCCAGGTATAATAAGGCACCCAATGAGAAACTAGATTCACACAAAAATGTACACAGATTGCATATTCTAACAATATGTAGTAACTTCCAAAACTTATTATACATCCTATGGCCGGCAGAATGTGTTACAGCTCTAATTTAGCTTCAGCTAGAAGCTTCATTTTTACGAAAAACACTTACCTGTTTAGCCTAGCAGGCATCTAAATATCTCTTAAAGGCCAGCGAATGGGTTATACCACTGAGATTCTCCCTCTCCCCCTCTCTCTCAGTTTAACCCAATAAAATATTCTCTCAGTTGGGCTACAGATACAAGCTACAGGAAGAAAATTGTGATTTCAATAGTATGGTGTGAAAATCATGATTTTCAACAGCCAGGTACCCTAATAAAACATTCTCTAACAAAAGATACTAGCTTAAAGTTAGAAGGTGAAAATATATTCCAACTTTCTGGGGGCAAAACCACAAGCATAATAAAAAAAGGAAAGAAAAATAAATAAAAAAGTTCAACAAGTTGTTCTAGTTATGATGCATATTTGCTCTAGCAGCACATCTCAACTCAACCGGTCTTTTTCCAACTACAAAACATCAGCTACATGAGTCCTCCCAATCTGCCCTTTTCCACTACTAATCATGCACACATGGAAATGCTGAGAGCAGCACTTGCCATGCCAGATAATGAAGTTTGTTAAACAGAGTTATAATTAGAGCCTTCTCTGAGAAATATGTTATTTTCATTCGGTAGACTACTCATCCACTTTTGAGATAAAAGTAAAAGATAAAAGAAAATATATCCAACAAGCAATGTAACAGCCGGATACTTCATCACAGAACCATTCCTTTCAGAGAGAGCAAAATCTGCCAGTTATCGATTTATTTACATGAAATATATTAATAGCCATTATGGCTAAAACATAATATATATATATTAGTAACATGCTGACTTACAGTCATACCAATCCTAAGGAAGATTTCTAACTTACCAAAAATCTGATCCCAAAGAATTCATAGATACGCTTGCTGCAAAACAAAAATACGGACTACTTATGATTAACTCACTAAGAATTTACAAAAACAGAAGCATTGAGATGAAATGCATTAACTAGATATATTAGATTGCAACATGGAACAACAAAAATTTACGAATGCATTACATTTTCAATCAAACACAGAAAGTAATCTAGAATACAGACATCGGAACATGTTCTATTTCCAAGTGCCAATCAGGTCATACATACTCACGAGATGATTTCATCGGAACAACCCAATGTGACATTGCAAGATCTCAAAACACGTAATGGGGATAACAACAAGATCGTTTCTATTTCTTGAGACAAGAATGCAAAACACTACTGGTCCTTACCAATTAGCATCAAAGGGTTCGTTAGCAATATTGCAAATAAAGGAAATCGTTACCTTGACCGAGCGTAAACTTGAATGGTGTTCCTCTGTCGCGACTTGAATCGAACTGAGTGCCATCGAGCAAGGTGCCTACGTAATGAACTGAAGAGCAAACACTAACTTATTAACACATATTCTTTAATATCATCAGCAAAGAAAATCGAAAAATAATGAAGAAATTGATGAATGTACCTTCTACCTCGTCTCCTTTCCCAGGAGTTTCCCAGCCTTCACCTTCCTTGACAAGCTTCTTCTTCAGCCCACTCTTCCCAATCTCTCTCTCTTCCCCAACCTTGAAAACGGGGGTCACCTCAGGGAGCTCCGCGTCCATGTCCATATCCAAGTCATTGTTGACATTCATTTCTCCAGCAGTTGGGAACTCGAATTCGTCTTCCATAATTTAGCAGCAGCAGTGATCAACGGATGGAGAACGAATAAAGCTTTGCCGATATCGTATCAAAAAGCCAAGAGTAAGGAAACTTCCGAATACGTACACCACTACCAGAAATGATGCCGATCTGTAGACAAAGAACTGTCCACTCAGAGGCTTTTATCGAAAGAGAGAATCTAGATAGTTCTATGAAAAAGACGACAAAGCAATTTGGGTATCTGGAAAGCTCCCTCCTCTTTGCACAAATATATAGCCAGGCGTTTATCACGTGAATCTGTAGATGCATATGATGCACAAGTTACAGGTGAAGAATGAAGATGGTTCGAGAGAGTACACAGAGGAGCGGGTAAAACGCCCCCGCATTTCGGATGCCTTGTTCCCGGCAAACGGAAGATGACCGGAACAGAAGTGCACAAAATTACATATTTAGCCCCAGCCATACAGTTGGGTCGGGTGGCGTCTAGTTTGATGGGTTCGGTGCGGATATTTTTTTTTGTCCTCTTCCCGGCCCCATCAGTGCATAAGTTATGGTCTTCGAACAGTAGTACGAGGAGAAAAAGGTTGATTTCATGTGAGGCACTTTTTTAGCGTGATAATATTGTTAAATAATTTATACGTGATATAATTATTTTATATATATTTATATTATATATTAATTATTTAATAATATTATCTTATTAAAACAGTGATATAATTATTTTATGTATATTTATATTATATATTAATTATTTAATAATATTATTTTATCAAATATATCAAAAGAAATAATATGATATTTTTAAGATAATGATATTTTGTGTCTTAATGTCACAAAGAAAAATTCACGTATAAGAATAAGAGAATAAAAATTATAAGGTTGAAATTATGAATATATCAAAAATTTCTTTGAATTTAATGAGAAATACTCCTTAAATTTAATAAAAAACACTAATTTTAATGTTGAATATCAACGAATCTATTCATATAGTTAAATACCTCAATGGATATTGCAGGGACCAAAAGTTTATTCTTGAATTACCATCACCCATTAATTGAAAAGTGTTGGCGGGCCACAAGAGAGGCCAAGGAAAAAAAAAGGATTAAAGGTGTAGATGCATTCAAAAGTAGAGGAGGATGAGGAAGTGGTGCTCTGAGCTTTACATGTTTTTCATTTCCGCTTCTCCCAGGATTTTGCTACTGATGAAAGATTTCTATTTGATTTCTATTTTTGTGCCAGCGGCAAGACTTACAAGGCCCATTGTTGGATCAGAAACTTGTAGGCACTCCAAGCGTTGGGCAATGCAAGTCGGTTCACGGCCGACGATACCTTTTGGCTAGAATTATTGTTAGATATTTATGTCTGTTTTTTATACTTGTTCATGTTGGTATTGATTTGTTTGTTTTTGGTTTTATAAGCACAGAAATTGTCAAGGAAGTGTGCCTAAAGACAGTAGAATAAGTTTGACCAATCTCTAATACAGAAATCACAAAAAAGCCATTCCTGCTCCACTATTTTATTTACTGAATCAACTAACTAACTCACATCATTTAACTGAATAATATAACACGTACTCAATATACATAACATAAAAAAAAAGAAAAAATTAAATCATTATATACATATCTAAAAAGTTTATTCAGTCTATTTGACTTCATTTTTCCAAAATAAAACTACTAATATAAATATATAACACCGTTTGACTTTCTCTCCCTGACATTGCAACCCGTTAACCTCTCTAGATTAAGACACTAATGCACTGAGTGCTCTTGATGCAGCTACTGCTGAGACCTAGAAAAATAAATAAGTAATGAGGTGGTGTCTTAATGAATGATCTTCTAGTTAAAATCGGGGAAACAAGAAAATATTTGCATATTATTATAAATAAAAATAGTTAGTAGAATCAGTATAACCAATAAGAAATAATATATTATGAGGTGAGAATTCATTTGTTATAATATAAAAACATATCTAATTCATCTGTTGAACCTATAATCTAACAAAACAAAAACGTCACAAAGAGTTAAAGGGTGGAAGCAAAAACATGGTAGCTCTATACATAAATATGAGGTCTAACATGCATATAGACAAAACATAACAACTATGAAATAACATAGAAAAATTGCTAAATGTTATTGGTCATGAGACTCATTCCATAAAACACCACTATAGATGAACACACATGACTTATTTGTATTGTGAAGCCCCACTGGGCAAACAAATCATGTAGTAGTACCACTGTAAACGTGACTACCTAATAAATTATTCAGTGAATAATATATATTCATATTAAATAGATGACATAAAACTGAAATTCCTGTTTCAATTTCATATAACCAAAATAATCATAGTGTATAAAATGAAAAGCATTTCTGGAAAACTAAGGCCATTAAGCTTCAAAATAAACGTTATTTGAGAGGAATCTTTGTCTTCACAATTTTAGGAAAAATAATGAATTTAGAAGAAAAAACCATTCACCGCTACTAATACTAGTGTGCCCAAAATTAGTCCTATCGAGTTCATCGCCCAGCCATAAAATGAAAAGCATTTCTGGATAACTAAGCCATTAAGCTTCAAAATAAACGTTATTTGAGAGGAATCTTTGTCTTCACAATTTTAGAAAAAATAATGAATTTAGAAGGAAAACCATTCACCGCTACTAATACCAGTGTGCCCAAAATTAGTCCTATCGAGTTCATCGCCCAGCCAATATGTCTCTCCTAAAATAGAACCATGTATATAGTCAACATGTCATAAATATGGATGAATGAATGAACAAATTGACATCGTGTTAGAGGATATTACAATTAAGTCCTTCCCTCCTCCATCTCCTTCGGGTTATAATATCTACCACATAGGTACTCTGAAAATTCTAAGAATATTAATATATAATTGTTATCCAATTAGGTATGCTAAGGTATACTCACATTCTATAAAGGAAATATAATTATTTTTTTATAAAAAATAATCTTCAAGCATGTAGGTGAAGTTCTAACCTAGTATTTTAGACATTCTAATGTCAATTTGACCTTGCTTTCACTAAGTTAACTTAACTACTCCTTAACTTTGTTTTAGCCCTTGATCCCCTCTGAGTTGCAACTTTTAAGATGAGCCAATTCCTTACTTAAAATACCTTAAACATGCAGGAAATTTCAGCTTCTACGTCAGATCTTTAACCTTTTAAATTAGTGAACCCCTCAATAACATGGATATGAATTGATATAATTAACCTAATCTTCACTCCCTTCTTAGATTTCCCTTCAATTCTTCACAAGAACAGCCACGAAATGGCTCCTTAAACAAGCCTTTAGTTGGCCAAAGTTAGTGAAAAGGAAAAAAAATAGCTAAACATTAGTTCTCAACATAGTTGTGCAATTAGCTAGACCACCTCTCTCTTTGGTTTGGTCCAATACTCCACCTTCACAATTCCAGTACCTTGCCTCATCAAGTTTTCAAATTTTGCAGCTCTACTCTTGTAGAAACTTCGCAGCAAGCATGACCCAAGCACAATCACAAAACTAGCGACAAAACTCTCACAAATTTCATGTTTTCTCTAGCCTTGGTGTTCCGGTTCTTCCTTTCCCCATCTCCTCTGTTTTTCTACTTGGGGCCCATTTCTAATTCAAAGGGTAGCTAGCTATAAGAGGGACAAAGAAATGGTAGAACAAGAATTAGTAATTTCTTGCCAATTATTTGCCAATTTCCTTTCTTAAAGTGTGGGTCTTCACGCCTTCTTCTCCTCTTTTTCTTTTATTCCCCCCTTTCTTTCTCTATAATGCATAAGCATGCATCTGCCTCAAGGCTTTAAAGGGGCCTATCAAGGCAGTTTAAAGAGCGGCCAAATTTTTTTTTTTTTTTCTAATTTTTGATTTTTGATTTTTATTTTTTCTTAATCTTCTACTGAATCCCCTCTTAAGCCTTAAGGTTCTAGAGCAAGAGTCATAACAATAATTAACAAAAATTCTTAAATTATTTCCTTCTTCTTATTTCCTTTTTAAACTCCGTTAGTTGTAGTTTTGGGCTTTGGTTTGTAAGAATTTTATTATATTCTCCTAATTACCTTACTTTCATTTCCACTTCTCATCTCTAAGGTCATTCTTATGTTAGTAAGCTACTACATAAGAAATAATACTAATAATATTACTTGGTTATATCTTAAAACACACCAATGCCATATAAACATAAAATATGAAATTTATTAAATGTATAGTCATGTATATGTAATGAAGAACATTGAATGGATCCCGGGTGATCTTGGGTGGGGATGTTACAGTTGGCCTTATCAATTTCTTCTTCAATCATTGTTATCTTCATAGATGCTATAGTTTGTTGTTTGTACAAGAAGAAAGAGAGAGCGAAGTGGAACAAATGGCCATCTTGCAGCTCATTCACTTGCCTTACAGGATTAACAAATTAGGGCCTTTTTCTTTCGAGATGGAATTAGGGTTGGCATGGGTGGCGATATCAAGGAGCTAGTCGTTGCCATTGATGAGCCTCACATTCATAGGCCTAATCGCTGCCAGATCATGTACACTTGGACAAGGGGCCTATGATGAAGGCAGGTGTGGGCCCATGTATTAAGCAAGGCTCAGTCACTGTCCTTTCTGCCATCTCCCACTTTTTGGCCCAGCACATGGTGTCCTTTCCAATTTGTCAACCTTTTAGGGTTCTCTTGTTTAACTTCTTCCTTCTCGTTAGGGTTTTTGTCTTAGAGTAGAGAATAAATGTTACTCCACTTGTCCATTTTTTCTCTCATTTTGTAGTATTTTTGTGGTTTTAATTTACAGGTGAGGGTAATTTTGGAAATAAACATTTGGTTTGCCATGAGTCAGCGTATTTAAGTAACTTAAAAAATTTATTAAAATTAGTTTTTTCATTAAATCTAGGAGGTTTTTAATAATTTTATAATTTATAGGTATATTTGATGCAAAGTTGATAGTTGAAAGGGGTTTAATGAATTTTAGTCAAATCATAACAAGATATTTTAAGTAGATTCGTAGTGTATCACCTTTATCAAATAAAAATAAAG